GCAGCAGCGCATAATATAGTATCAGTCAAATCATATCTCGCTCTAACACTAGGATATTCATCATTTACATTTGTTAAATCATCCGGAAGCATTACATCTTGTATAAAGTGTAGATGAACTTTATGAATAGATACACCAAAACTTGTGGTTGAAAATTTGAAGGGAAATAATTTTGTAAGTTCCCCTACATAGTCCATTTGCATTTTATCAAACATAGCTTCCATGTTCCAATCCTAAATTTTAATCAAGTTATAATTATTAATGAATTTAGAGGAACGTACAGTACGGTATAGTTAAAATTAATTATCAAATTTTGCAAACCTCTTTTTTAATTGCTTCCAAAAACTCTTCCACAATTTTCAAGAAAATTGGAGTTAATAACACTTTTACAGTTTTAGTAGTCTCAAATATAATTGTCATTTTTTCCTCTGCTTCATCCTGAGTATTTAGCGATTGATCCGGAACTATATCGTCAGATGATGCGGTACTTTCATTCATTAATTTTAAAAAAGGCGATGATTTGAAACTTGGACTTTTCTCATCAGGAGACAGTTCCGCATCCTAATTATATATAATAATAATAATAATAATAAATAAGTACTTAAAATCACAATTTATAAATATTACTTGATTTTGTATCGTAATAATTACTCTTGCAGGTATGAATGACACGCGGGGTGGTTGAAGAAATGAACTTTGAAATGGAGCCGAAGAAGATCTCAACGAAGACTGTTTATATCGTCTTAAATAGCTTCCATATGGAATAGACTTGGCAACTGGTGGGGACATCGAATAATGATGTTCATCAGGGGACAGTTCCGTTTTATTCACATAATAGTCACTATCAGAATCTATGAATTGAATTATAAGCAGAAATATCTTTGTAAGATAATTAATAAAAAAAGAGATTTTTTAACTGTTAATGAAATTTACCATCAATAATGATAGGAGTATTGTGCCCAATGGTTTTATCATCGTTATCACTTTCATTAAAACTTTCATCATCTTCTTCGTCACCGTCTGACGCAGTCACAAATGATGCATTTGATACACTAACACCTGACCCAGTAATTATAGATACACTGTAATAATATAAAATGAAGGTTATAAAATGCTTGCTTAAGCAAAAAAAAAAGTCTTTGTTACATGTATAATACAAACTTGTCATCATCGGTTCGTAACCACATGTCGTCATCACCGTGGTGGTCAAATATTAACATATTTTTGATGTTTATTCTATTTTGACTTGCAGAAAGGTCAACCATTGAAGAATTTGCACTTTCATTGTTTAATACAGAGTAAACATCCGTATCACCTAAACAAATAATGTAAATTGCACAATTAAAGCCCATTATTAAAATTCATTATTTAAAAGGAAAAAAGTCGTGTAAAAAAATAAAACTCGTTTATTTATTACCAGGTATTGGCGCTGGCATTGGTGGAACATAAAGTGAGCCAAAATGATAGCCATTAGATCCTAATGAACCTAGAATAAAATTATTACACGTTAGATCAGTATAGTATAAGAATAAAAATGAAATCTAATGTACTAACTTTGGTCACCGTTTCCATTTTCATAAAGAAACGGAATTCTCGAAGTTTCCTTATCTTGTTCTTTTAAATGCGCCTGT